ATCAGTAAGGCAGGCCGAAAACAGCTTAGGGTGGTGTCACACTCCGCGTGCCTTCGCGCGAGTCGCGGGCTCTGACACTACCTACCACGATCAATACTGCGAACCTCTCCAATCCCGCCGCCATTTCTGCTTGATGGTGATGGTTGAATGACGACTGTTCATGATTCTACTTGTTTCATATTCAGTGTTTCAAATGTTCAAATGGGCACTTGCGATTTTTGCGATTCGCGCGAAGCGCGCGACGGATCGCGGACTCTGACCAGCCTTATCCACTCCATTTCTGTCGAGTGCGGCGGCCACCACGTCATTTTCAGTGACACGCCTAATCAGATTTCGAGATATGACTGTAACTGTCGACTATCTTATCCGCTACGTCATAATCCAATTGTGTAAGGGCAAGCGTGAGGTATTTCGTCTGCAAGTTCACATTAGTCGCCATCAGATCACTTTATAAGATCCCTTGGTCGCGCGCTTTCGAGCCGCGACAAGGTGGCGGCACATTTTGATACTCGTTGGTTATTCTGTCCTACACGCAGAACAGACTCTTCAACGCAATCTCATTTGGGGCTTGTGTTTATGCAAGGAGCATAGATCACAAGAATCGTTGGACTGTCGTATATTTGAAATTCCTTTTTTTACGTTTTTCTGGTCTGAAAGATTGTGTGAAATGTAGTTTGTTTTTTGTGGAGTGTTTCCGTAATTGGGGAATTTCAGTTTGTGGATTCTACTGCTAGTCTTGCGCAGCACAGCGGTGGAACGGCTTTCTTCATTATAAGTTCTCGAAATTTCCAGTGGGAGTTCTCTGAGGATTCCTAAAACTGCAAAATCTCTCAATCCTGTGATAATGCTTTCACGTAATCCAGATCCTTCCAGAAAGCTCCTGTTGACACAGGCTTTCGAGTACGTCTTTCCCAAACGTCACTGCACATTCAGTCATCATGCAATCGATTCTGTCTGCTTCTTTGTTGTCATTCGCAGTCACAATATTCATGGCGAAACCAGTCCCCCTTCTTTGCTCTATAGAAAAAGTGCACGCCATTGCTTATGACTCATGCCTATCGTCGTCCTTGATTCCATTTTATCTTTCTCATCAATGCATACCTTGAGAAATGGACAGCCTTTTGTTAATCACACTTCAGCTTTCTAGTCTTATCAAAGATTCTCATCGTTTCACTTTTACTCCAAACAGTTGAACAGAGCCATTCCATTTGGTTCCTGAAGGAACATCTATACCAGATATTCCCCCTTGCCCTGGTAGCCTTGACATTAGCTTCACCGACCACCGAATCAAACAGATCCATCACAAACTATGGTAAACCAAGATGCGGGGTGAAGCTCCCCCATGTTGACTTGTTTGTGAAAGTTGCGTCATCAACACGCGTCTTTAGGCGTCCACTTTTTTTCGTTTGAATATCAGAGTAGCTGGAAATGGGCGTACCACATAATCATCACTAGTGATGGGCTTATTCGTTGGAATTCAATTGATATTCCCTTCATTCGGAGATAAAATTATGGCTTTAAAACTATAGCTTTGTAACCTGGCGTAGTTAGTTATCATCTGTTCTAAGTCATTGCATTAAGGGTGTATCGGTAATATCCTTGAAACGGCCCGGCTTTCCACTAAAGCATCGTTTCTGGGATCTCAAGGCTTCGTTTATGCTGGGAAATTTGGTGTCATGGAATTGCATCAGTGTGGAGGTCTGATCTATTTCACTTCCAAACCTTCAGAGGTCTTCTGGGTTGGTTGGTTGACGACTCTGTTTTGCCTCTTGTTGTTTACTAGAGCGCAGAGGTGCGTAATGCACTAATCCCGAACACCACATGATCGTTGAGGTCTGGCCCGCATCGATTGCGGCAGCGCCAGCGTGTAGCTGCGTCTATTAAAGTGATTGTATTTCGAAGGTTCTGGGCATGTTTCAAAGGCCAACCTAATAATAGAACTGTTGGTTTAATATCCTATATGCATTATAAATTCGCTTACTAGAGTGTCGTGTGGTGAGTTTGTGTTTAATGCAGATTTATGGTTTCTTTTTTTCATGATCGGCTTTCGTTGCGCGGGGTTATTGGTCTGCAGATTCGAGAGAGAGTAGTCTTTTGCTGGTGGCTAATACAGTTCGAGAAGGAATGGTTTCGGTGTTTGAAAGACCTACTTGCTGGGTTCGATCAAATCCTGGATCGAATCTTGACTGGTCATTCGTCGAATATTTCATCTTTCAACGGTTGAATGGTGACGAGCACGAGTATGCGTAGGGTTGTGTATGCTTGAGGCGCAAATCACAGCTGAGCTGGAAAACAGCTGTTTTACAAGCAAGAAGTGAAAAAGCGTTTTCTGTTACTATGAATTCTTAATTCTGAAGAAGTTCCTTTTCTGTAATACTCGCTCGATAATTTATCTGAAGATAGCGTCTGACTGCGCTTTCAGCAAACCGAAATTGATAGCTCCCATATGTCTAGGGATACATGCAAAGAATTAGTTAGCACGTGCAATTGTTGGGCGTTTGGATGAAGCTCCATAAAGCTTTCTGGGCTTCTCAGTAGATTGTGCAGCAGCTTAGAGGTCGTATAGCAGCTGCGCAGTGCCTACTTTTGATATTCCTACTGTCGATTCGAGTGTTCTATTAAGTGGCTCTCAGTATATGTATCGATTTTCGATTTTGTTGTTCTGTTTTTTCGGGGCCGCAATGTTGTGTATGCCACAACAGATGAAAATCTCATTATATATCTCATTTGAGCTTTTTCCTGGTATACAGCGTTTTTATTCGGATATATATTCTAATACAATATTTTTCTTTGCGTAGATATTCATCGAATGAACAATCAGAAAGAACGTCTATATCCTTGTTGTATATTCTGTGTGTTACCCGTTGTCTCCGAGTGAATAATAAGTTATGATTTTGCAGCGATGTCAGGACCTTACGGACAACCTGGCTACAACCCCCAGTACCAGAATCCATATCCAGCAGGAGGACCTCCTCCACCTGGTTGGAGTCAAGGACAGCAGCAACAAGGTATGAAGTCTGACATTTGTTAAATTGTTGTTTTTGGAATCCCTGAAGTTACACATTTACTGCATGAGCTTTTTCCTACATTTTCCTTTCCATTTTTCATTTAATCCAAAGAAATTTGCTTCTGGAGTGTTTTCGTTAAAGGACGAAATGGCATGTAGATTCTATCACTAGGTTGTTTTAAAATGCATTGCGTTCTTCGCGGCTGCGCAGTACAAGGAGTTTGGGTAATTTGGTTAAGAATGTGACTAATGTTTGTTATCGCCAAAGTATTGTCCATGTCTCGGTTTTGCTTGAATGCAGACTAGCAAATTAAGAATTGTTGTTGTTAGCGTTACCTATTACCGTTAACGCTTGGTCTGCATTTTCAATTTTCAAAGTTGACGCGTTTTGCTCAGTGAGGAGCCCTCCTCCTTATTTGGTCTGGCAACCAACTGCAATTATTTTCAAAACTTTCGTTATCCGTCCATTATGTCATTCACTTCCTCCTTCCTCTTTTCTGCCCTCCATTTGAGCACTGCCCATTCGGAAATGTGTTGAATCAATTACCCATTTTATTATTACGACAAGTGATTTCTTATCGTATCTGAGGCTTTAGGAAACTTTAAAAGTGGTGTGTAGTGCTTATAAAGGATCACGTTTGGTTTTTGACGCGTTGTTATGTTTACTGAAAATCTCGATTCCAAATGACCTGTAGTAAAGCTGCTAGCTTCTAGAAAAACTCATATGCCAGTAGCACAGTTATTTATTGCATATCCTTGAAATGTCAGGATAGCCAAAAAAGCTCTTCGGAGGCGGATTGCATATACGCAATGGAATGGTTTCGAGAGGGGGATCAGCGCCTTATTCCTTGACTCAGAACAGTCACTGTGATGTGAAGCCATGTGAACCTTGCTTTTGTATTTTTTTCAGACTTCTACTTCTTGTGTCAAAACCTTATCATACCCATCGCATGGCCGATGTCAGAGTCTGCGATTGGAGCGATCGGTCAAATGCCAATCGCGCGACCATCGCGCGATTCGCGCGACGATCGCGCGATTGACATGAGTCCCATCATGACCAATCGCTCCAATCGCGCGATGGGCGCGATCACTCCCGTTGTGGCAGGGCGCGCCCACTCGATCGATACCTCAGTCAACGTATCGATCGAGAGGGGCGCGCCAGCCACAACGGGAGTGATCGCGCCCATCGCGCGATTGGAGCGATTGGTCATGATGGGACTCATGTCAATCGCGCGATCGTCGCGCGAATCGCGCGATGGTCGCGCGATTGGCATTTGACCGATCGCTCCAATCGCAGACTCTGACATCGGCCAATGAGGTGATACTATTCCAAAAAACTATCGAAAACAAATCGTCCTGTATATTCAAGGACTAAAGAGCTTACGGAATGCGCCTATGAGCCCCCCCCCCCTCCCCACATACTTCCTGTTCTAATACTGCTTGACGCTACCACTGTGGTTCACCCGAGATGCCTGCTGTTTGGCATGCCTTTCACCTTCAAATGGTCTTTTCCATTCGATCCGAGTTCAACTTTCGCTGTTTTATATCCCAACATTTGCCAAATTCTACAGTCACTTCCAAATCTAGCAAGAGTGAGATTTGTTTGGTTCAAGTGTCAATAATATGTAATAATAAATAATGTTAGTAAGATGGAAATTGTAGGGTCGCTATAAACATGGGAATGTCTATCGGACGGGATCAGGGGCCTCTCTGAGGTGAAATTGAAGTCTGAAGGGAAAGGAGCTCGCGTAATATTTCCAGAATTGAAAAGAAACTCTCCATTCACTTTGCTCTTCGATTCATTTATGGGCTAGTGGTAAATAGTAAGTTCGTGAAATGCGAAGCGAAATTGGTATAAGGGAGAGAGGAGAGCTTTTTTCGAAAAATGCGCTTTAGCTGGGAAATTGATTTTTTGGGTTTTGTTCTGTACATCTTGCCATTCAGTGCGGTCGCCATAATGAAAGTTTATATCCTTCCGATATTAGCTCATCTCCGGCGCCTTCACATTGTAATATTTTTCAGGATTCATGCCTCCACCGATGCCGCATCCAACTATGATGGGTATGGGAGGTAACCCACATTATGCTGAGGGTGGTGAACCCGACAAGTATAACCTTCAGTTCAGGTGAGTCAGGGAAGTAGCCTTAAGTTCATTCGTTTTATCTAAAGAACTTCAACCCACAATGTCCTGTTTAGTGATCGAACAATCCGTGCGGCATTTGTGCGCAAGGTGTTTTTCATGGTGGCAATTATGGTATGTTTGTTTACGTCATCTTGTAGTCGTTGTCTTTAGTTCTACTAAAATTTTTCTTCCGAATCTGTTTTTTGCTGCATATTGCTTTTTTAGAGCTCATTTTTATTTTTGACATTTTGCAGCTCGGTGTGGTAGCAATAATGACCGCGATTCCGTTCCTGAATAACGATACGAGGTTGTTTGTGGCAAGAAATATGGGAATGTACTGGGCCGCATAGTGAGTTGTCTTTGGAAGGTTTTGAACTTCTTTGTCAGAAATAATGGAAATTGCTTCAGTGGAGTCTTCTTCGCAGTATATCTGGCGTTGATGTGCTGTGAGTCAGTGAGACGGTCCTTCCCAGCAAATATCATTCTAACAGCTGTTTTCGTGAGTTGATTTACCTGAAGGTTGCGATTGTGGCACTCTTTCTAACTCGAAATTTAGACGTTGGCTGTCGGGTATATGACGATGATGATTACTGCGCATCACAATATCGTGTCAGTGCTGCTCACGCTTATCATCTGTACAGTTTGCTGTGGATCGATCATCATTTTCTCGATGCAGACCAAATACGATCTGACGAAGTAACTGATTTGCTTTTTTTTACTAAAACGTTGGCAGAAAGCCATCCAGTAGTAACATTTTTCACAACCGGTTGCTCTTTAGTATGATGGGAATTATGTTCATCCTGTCGATGTGTCTGATGGTATTCGGATTGGTGGCGATCATCTCGGCGATCTTTTTCAAAGTAAAGTTCATATACATGGTATATGCTGCACTGGCCTCGCTTCTCTTCATGTTTTATTTGGCCATCGATGTACAGGTGAGAGAATTCAATGGTTTGTAACTATGTGATTCGAAATTTCCAGAATCTTTCTTTGTTTATGAGCATCATGCTCCAAAATTTTGCGCATGAACGGGCTTCGTAATTGCTGATCACTCGTAACGATTAAGCTAATAATTATTTTTAGTTGTTAATGGGCGGACGCAAATACGAGATTTCTCCAGAAGATCACATTTTCGCGGCAGTTCAGATCTTCCTTGACATCGTGTACATCTTCTGGATGTTACTCTCCCTGTTCGGATCCAGCAAGTGAGTTTGCGCTTTCAATTGGTCAGCTTTTGGCTTCGGGCTTGTTCGGATAACCCAGTACTCGTTTTGTTGCAAGTGGCATGCTTTGGCTTGATGCTGTGTAGAACACCACTCAACCATAACCCATCTGTGTTTGATATCACATTGTTACATTGAAGGTTTCAGTTTTGATATTCAGTAGAGGATAGATTTTTAGATTCTAGGCGTTTTCGTGAAGATTTAATCATCACGGCTTTTGTGTTAGTTGTGTAGTGTAAGATCGTTATTAGCCTCATCGACCACACTGCATCAAGCGCATAGAGGACGATCTGACTACTTAACACTTATACAAGAGACCTGTCAGCCATAGACCAGATGACTAATTACGGGTATGGGGCGCTACGAAGAGCCAGGGGAAGTGTCCTATCCCCCGGCTAGAAACATTAATCCTCAAATTTCTTGTTTTCAGCTAAATCTACAGTATTAACTTCCGGCCGCGTTTGATTTTTCATATATACAGTGCGTTTCAAAAGTATGTGCACACCCTCAAAATTCACGTTTGAAAGGGAACCATGAGGTTTCGTGCTATGAAATCCTTCTCAATCGATTTCTCGTAGTCGATAACTATCAATGGAAGCAAAGCAGATAATATCGCCTCACTTTCGAAAAAAAATTTTGGATGAAATTTTTTCTTTGTTTCAAAAGTATGTGCACACTTAACAAAAGACAAAAACATAGCTGAGATTAGAAATCAGTGGGGCCTCCAGAGTTTCTAATTAGCTCAAACATCCTGTCCGGCATAATCTGAACCACGTTTGGCATAGCTGTTTCGTCGCTGTCGGCCCAAATAGCCTCTACCGCCGCCTTCAGTTCATCCGCGGTATTATACTGCCGGTTGCTAAAGTTAACGCCTTGATCAAGGGCTCCCTATAGGGTTGCAGTAAGGAGGACACACAAGCCAATCTATCGCTTCAGCACCATTTGGTTAAGGCCATTCTTTGGTAGATTGCGAAGCATCGAAAGACACGTGGTCCTGTTGCTAAAAATGCAATTTTCGCTCCGCTTCGCTAAGGAAGGGCAACAGGTGACATTGGAGCACTGCTTGGTATTCTTTACAGTTCATACGCAATAATGGAACGGCAACTTCTGAATTTCCGCTGATTGCGAAACCGCCGCAGACCATCAACGGGCCTCTTCCGAAATTCCTTCTCGAGAGCACGAGCGACTCACGGCCAAGCCTCTCCAGTAGTAGCAAAATCCACCCGGCCCGTCAAGATCGAACTCTTTCCATGAGTTAAGATTACCTGAGGAGAGAAAGTCCATAAAAAGTTGCTTGTTTTGAAAATAGGAAATTCTCGAAAAACCGTGTCTTCGCCCGGTGTCCTATCCTATGTTGCCATGTCTGTACGAGCAGACTCCAATGTGGCTAACTTGTGCTGGGCCTTGAAGTGAGTAGCCTTTCTCAGCGTCTGTCGAGTGGTGTATTCATTTGAGCGGATGAGGGCTTAGTGGTCATTTTCGAGGCTGGAATAAAAATCTGAGCTCGGACTGTCAATGAAGAATCCGACAGGATGTGGGCTACTCTTTTGTTGTTCTGAGCAGTCAAGGATCGTGGATGGAGCGGAGTGTGTGCTGAGTATAATTATCAGGGTGCCAGATAAATCTTCGAATGCATTAAGGAGAACGACCAAGTTATCGTGCGATTTCTAGATTGGAACGTTCATTATCATGCAGAACCTTGATCTGAGCTTGCTCATCTTCAGGAAGAAGTATGGCGCGAATTGACATGATGACGAAATGAAAACAGCAAAGTCGGATTGAAATCGGTGGAAAATTCGGCGCCAAAATCTGATCTTCTTCAAGTGTGCACATACTTTTGAAACAAAGAAAAAAATTTCATCCAAAATTTTTTCCGAAAGTGAGGCGATATTATCTGCTTTGCTTCCATTGATAGGTTATCGACTACGAGAAATCGATTGAGAAGGATTTCATAGCACGAAACCTCATGGTTCCCTTTCAAACGTGAATTTTGAGGGTGTGCACATACTTTTGAAACGCACTGTATATATCTGGGAAGGCAAATAGATGTTGAAGGGATTTTTTGTTCTCCCAGCCTAGGGGAAGGATAGGATACGATCCCAGAAGGGAAGGGGATTTCTGAACAGAGAGCGCAGGTAAGGGCCGAATAGCGGATGCGTTCGGAGGACCGTGCTCAAAGAGTCAGTGCTAGGTCGAGGTATATACTACATAGGTGCGGCATGAGCGAAGAGGCTCGGAATATTAGTTTTTTCCGCATAAAAAGGCTTGTGAACATAGGCAGCTTTTGCCTAGGGAGTTCTCAGCAGCGCTAATTACGCTTAATTTATTTTGCGCTTCGTATAAGTTCTTTCTTCTTGGTTTTCTTTGAGAATTGGTTTTTCCAACCCTTATAATATCCTTCCAGCAGGGATTAAACCGAGTTCGAAGGAACGCCGATAAAATCGATTATCGATCATTGGGTGTTCACTGCTTGGGAACTTATGTATAATACGCTTTGTGTACGTCCGCACCTTCTCTAAAATCTATCAGTGCACTTGCCCATCGTCAACTTATGCTAGTCTTGAGATCTATATGTTTGTTCTTGTTTTATACATTGCAGTGGAAACGTCTTTTTGAAGTTTAAAAGCATGCAATTTCTATGTATTCATTCTGCACAAGAGTAATGGGTGGTGGCTGGAGCTTTGTTTGTTGGTAAGGCGAAGTTTTCTGGGAACTTCAATTCATCTGACGCAAGTTATTTCGCAATGAGGTTCTTATAATTCCTCTGTTACCGAGATTCTCCGCTTTCTCGAGAATTATGCACGGATCTGGTTCACAAGATGACCCTTTTCATTTTTGCTGTATGGACGTCACGGATACCATCTGTAGATTTTCACCTGCTTCTTTCTGATGCAAACGAAGTGTTCCATTATCTGCTGAGTTTTCTGTGCTGCATTTTTCTTGCAGCACGTTCAGTTACTGTAGAAATGAAATGTTTCGTTTGTAAAGGTATGGTGAGCTGTAGAGAAATTTCTTCTATAGCTTCTCATTACCGATTCAACAATGGCTCCGAAAAACCGCTTGGGCATGGCGAGAGCAACTTCCACTCACCGATTTCCCTGGGAGAGATGGGGTGTTCCCACTATTTGCTTTACTCTTTATTACGCTTTTTTATCCCTGGTGGTCCGTGAGGGCAAAGCTTCCGAGTTCTGAAGCGGTTGCAGCTTGAATGGTATGGTCTTCTACATACAGACCCCTTCTGTTGCAAGCCTCTCCCTCAAAATTTTCACCGTAGTAAGAATCATAGATTTAATGGAAATGCCTTCAAAGTTCTGCATCACGGCGTCATCAAGATTTACCTGGTTCGTTCTTGTCGCACTGTTTCTGTGTGTTTACCTGGATGTATAAGTAACTCATGCATATGTAGCTATAACAGTCTTGTTTCACATTATTTCAACGGAACTGTTTCAGCAATTAAATTGAGAGATGATGCGCCGTCCATTACATCTGCCTCATGGCAGTGCTCTCCAGCGTTTTTGTTCCGTTCCGTTCCTTTTCTGTAACAATGCGATTGTATTTCTTTCGTTTTGAACTGTGGTTCTATCTGATTGACTGGTGAATTCTATATTTCTCGGCGCTGGTCCATTTCCATAACAAATAACGTACTACTTCATGGGGGATAACTGCGATAGTGAAGCTCCGGCTACCACAGGAAGCAATTTTCTTTGGAGATATGCCTTTTTTATAAGACGTCCATGTGTATCCTAGAAGCGCTATGTAATTCTATGTGTACAACAGCTTTTGTGTTAGTTGTCGCCGTGTTCCACTTCAAAATTGTATATTCCACATTCAAAAGTTTTATTTCTATACTTTTGTGAGTGTATTGTGCAGAATAAATGTATCGAACGACTCAAGTTGTTATTTATCACTCGGAAAGGCTGTTCTGTCAAGACTCCCAGGTTAGGAGATCGATACGAAGGTGGGCTGGTTCAGTATAATGGTTCTGGGTGTGGGTTTCTGTTATATAAGTATCTATAATGTTCTGTAGAAAGTCACCGCGCGATGTCGCGTTACTAAAAATTTGGGCGGTTAGTGCGACGTCACGCTGCGATTTCTTTCCACACACAAGGCTATACTTAGCTTTTTTAGTAATAGAAGTCCATGGCAGGTGTCAGGGTGTGAATCGCTTGGACAGAACGCGACTTTTTCGCTTTCGCAGCGCGAAGCTTTTTCACTACAGGAGCCCCAGGTTCACTCTGATCAGTAGTGGAGCCGGGATTCCGCCAGTGAAAAAAGCTTCGCGCTGCGAAAAGCGAAAAAGTCGCTTTCTGTCCTAAACCATACCCAGGTGTCAGGCTTTGCGTCTCTAAAAACAATAGCCAAATTTAGGGGTACCCCCAGGAGGCCCGTCGCGCGGCAAGAAGGCAGAGTCGGCGGACGAGTTGCAGCGCGTGGTGTGCGATGTAGGACGTGCAGTGGGACACTCTATTTAACTTGACGCGAAATCCCTATAGTACGCGCGCGACTCGTCCGCTGACTTTGCCTTCTTGCCGCGCGACGGGCCTCCTGGGGGTACCCATCACTTAGGGTTGATGTGTGGGTTGAGCGTGGGGTTATCCAGCACTCTGGTCAGTATGTTTGCCACTGAAAAGGAGTGCGTGGAACCTGTGCGTTTTCTATGATTTTCTTGTGTATCAAGGCCCTCTTTTGAGAATTATTCAGGGAATCGGTAAATTCGTAGGGCTGCAGGCGGGCCCTTTTGAACGAACCAGCGAAGATCGTTCCCAGGTGTGAATCTCGAAAGCCGTCCAGTTGCTTCATGACGGACCTTGATGGAACTAGAGCTAGATGGCGTCATTGGTGAACTAGACCTGCGTGGTGGATTTTTTGGTAGGGACCACTTTCCCTATGCCCTTCCACCAATAACGTTCAGTGACGTTATCTAAAGCGCTCCGGCTTTCAGCCTTTGTGTCCACTGCCTTTCATGTTTCCTGAAGTTGTTTTCTTCAGAGGTAGCTGTTCCTCATTCCTTCCGTTGAGTGAGAAACCCTTTCCGCTTTTCACTGCTGATTGGCTTCTCTATATTACAGCTGATTTTCAAAAACACGCACAGTGACTAACACTAGAGGCAAGGATTTTTCGACGCTAGGTGTATTAGCCCCGTGAGGGGGACGGGGATCGTACTGGTTCGCAGCAGAGGTTGAGAAAATGAAACGACGGTGTGAAATGCAGAAATTGCTGTCATCTTTCCTCCTTCCCCCTCGCTGGCCTGCTTGATGACAAGCCAGTGTCGAAAATCCTGCTCTAATGATTTTCACTGTGTAGTGTGATTTCAAAACTGCTTTAAATGAGATGTCATTTCAGCAGCGAAAAGGGTTGGTTGAGTCATTCAGCAGCGAAAAGGGTTGGTTGAACTTCCCGGAGAAATTTAGGGAGCGGAGCTAGATTGTGTCATGATAAACTACGCCTCGCACTTTTATTCAATTAAACTGAACAGGAGGGGGTCGCACCAGTCACGCGGCTGTGAGTAAGGATCGTACCGTCGTGGTCGTTCCTATGATGCGATGCTCCTGCTGAGCACAAGAGTATTACAGTAATTACCATAAAGTATTTAGTTGCTGAGGTTACAACGGGGAAGCGAAGTCTGCCCATCAGTTACATTAAGCCATGCATTGGAGGCGATATATACCTCTGATGAAAACTAATTATGATTGTGACTGCTTTTTCTATTTTTTCTGAAAGCAGCGATGGATTATCGATGAAGCCTTGTGAAGCATGAGGCTAGATAACTTATCGAGGCAATCCGTATTAATAACGCACAAGAGATCGTAGTGCTTAAGCGAATTGAATCAGTTTGTCTTCCCAAAACACAATAATGCTAATGTGTTATCACTTCACACGACCTGTTTTGCCTCAGAAAAGAAGATCAATAGCTTTGGAAGTAATGTTTGAAACTCTTAGATGATGTAGGAGAATCATTCCTTGCTGTTGGCTGTTGCATTCTTTGGTGGTGCACTGCCGCCTTCTCGCGAATTAGGACCAGGTTGGCTGTTGCTCCTGCACATTGAATTTCTTACGATCTTCTTGTCAAGGAATCTAACACTACTTCACCCAAATTAATTATTTACCTGATTACACCTGGTGTGGACGACGATAGAGAGCGTTTGTTAGTTTGGTACAAGTCTTATCAAGAATAACAAACAAACAGCTAAACTCGCACAAGAAAACAAAACGAAAACGTGCCCCTGTCAGCGCAGAACTACATATTAGCTACCCCCACTGTGAAGGAGAAGACTACGTTGGTAGTTACTACCTACGGATCGTTGTTTGAAATTGAATGACAGCCATAAAATTGCAGGCCAAAATCAGATCAACCACCCTTGAAGAAGAAGCAAGCAAAATAGATTTTAAAAACAATTTTGCATTTTTTGTCACCGAGGTGTAGGCAGTACAACAAATTTCATTTTGCATGTGAGCTTTCGAGCGCTAGACCAGTGTGAGTGTTCCGTTGAACTCCTACCCAGCTAATTCAAAGTTCGAGCTTCCATCTTCGAAACAACTCCGACGCTATCGCAATATAAGGGGGCATTGTAGTGACAGTGACAAACTCGCATAAACCTGCTCCTTTTATTGAAAACGGGACTGAGCCTTAGGCAGGGAGAAATTCCAGGATGCGAAAGCCATTTTCATTTTCCCGGGGTTCCTGCCGTCTCCTAGGCTTAGTCTCAGAAAATGCCCCCGTATATTGCGGTAGCGCCTCAACTCCCAATGGGTTATTTCTCTATGCTAACTGCCAACTCCTATTGGAACCTTCATTAAGTGGTTCGACGATTGGCTCTTTTTTTTTCTCCAGAGGCTAAAGGCCACCATTGCTGTGGAACAGAAAAATCGAACTGGTAGAACCTTGCCCCTGAAAAAGGCAAAAATATCAAAGTTGGGCCAATTAATGAGGTACTATTAGCTCGGTTATCATAGAAGAACAACAATAATAACGAAGCATTTTTGGAAATAATAAACAACAACATGGTAGAACGGGGTAACATGGAGACTGTAACTCCTATCTTTTTTTACTATTCAATGACGGTCACCGTTCTTGCAATGCTGAACACATTTTTATAAGAATTTATTTATTTAATTAAGTCGATTTCACTTTGGTTCTGGATGGTAAGGACACTGCGGGTGTAATCACTTTTTGGATCTATGCTTTTTGTCGGTTGCTGATCTTGCTCCCTCGGTCTGTGGAGCTATACCGGAGAATTTGTGCCATCGAGTTCCCCATCCAAACCAGTACACTATCAGAATTAACACAAGGACTAGTGCAGCAATGGCTGCGACGTTTATCAGTAGCGGTGAGAAATCTGAAAAATAATTCAAATACATCAGGTTATCATGAAAACACTCGACCAAGGCTGATCTGTAGGAACACCACACATCATAGATCAATCGTTAATATCAGTGACAAGTATGCCTGATTCCCACCCTGTGGTGGGTTGCATGGGACTATCAAATAGGATTTTCTCAGCAAAGTTCAAACACCTAGGGGTCAACTGTCTTCCTGGGCGAGTCACTAGGGGCTCGAATTTTGTGACATTAGGGAGTAGGTCGTGTTATCAAGAAAGGAGGTATAGAAATTTTTGACATTGGAAAAATGCTTGCGAGTTATTTTACATATTTGAACCATATATGGTCTCCCTATTTGGAGCCGGCTACGAAACCCTGCGCGTTGATGTACACTACGTACGGTGAACTTTAATCTTTCCCTTTGATCTTGACTTTTAATACTGGCAGTGTTTGCGTTCCGAAGGAGTTGTTTCAAGGCAGCGCTTACAGCCCAAAGGTACAATTGTAAGCTCCTCCGGATAATCTATACCAACATGAAATCGACGTAAACCACGGCTCCTTGACGAATAAAGAATTTAACACGTTGACGACAACGCGCGTTTTGGGTTTTTGCGCCGCGTGGGACCACGGCGATTTTGCAGGCGCCGCCGCCTCACATCAAATCCGTGAATTTTGAGCTTTAAATACCCAAAACTCGGATGCAACAAAATGTTTAGAATGATATTCGATGTGTCAAACTTATCAGAAGGGACAACTGTAAAAAATCGATCGAATTGACGTTTTCTGGCGATGAAAGGCAAGTTTCAGTTGCTTTTGCTGCAGTGAACCTCAAAATTATTTTTGACGCGGTTGCTCCACTAAAAACATATGTCTTGCTATATGTGTGGGTCTGTACTTACTTCTACTGCTCTTTTTTATGACCAAGATTATCAGAATATAAAGGAAACTAGGAATGAACACAATTGGGAAATTCGTAGGGCTTAGAAAACCTTCGCTAAAAAGGAGCATATTCAACCCATTCAATGAACCTCGCCGTGTCTAGTCATATTATGGTGTAGTCTATGGAATAGATGCAAAAAATTAGAAAAGAAGTAGCGCATGCGCGAAAAAAATTAATATTTGTCCCACACGGTGCTC